AGGCCGGTGCATATAAATGTGATGTGGTGGTCTGAGGGGGGAGGTGGACCTGGGAGAGCGTCTGACGAGGATGACATGGTGCAAGGAGGGTCTGAAGGAGGAGGCCGGTGTGTATAGATGTGATGTGGTAGTCTGAGGGAGGAGGTGGGCCTGGGAGAGCATCTGATGGGGGTGACATGGTACAAGGAGAGTCTGAGAGAGGAGGCTGGTGCATACAGATGTGATGTGGTAGTCTGAGAGGGGAGGTGGGCCTGGGAGAGCATCTGATGGGAGTGACATGGTACAAGGAGAGTCTGAGGGAGGACTCCGGTGCATACAGATGTGATGTGGTGGTCTGAGGGAGGAGGTGGGCCTGGGAGAGCATCTGATGGGGGTGACATGGTACAAGGAGAGTCTGAGAGAGGAGGCTGGCGCATACAGATGTGATGTGGTGGTCTGAGGGGGGATGTGGGCCTGGGAGAGCATCTGATGGGAGTGACATGGGTCTGAGGGAGGAGGCTGGTACGCGTACATGTGACGTGGTAGTCTGAGAGAGGAGGCGAGTCTAGGAAAGTATCTAAAGCAGGTGATATGGTGCAATGAGGGTCTGAGGGAGGACGCGGTGCACATAGATGCAATGTGGTGATCCAGGTGGGGCAGCAGGCCTTGGGGAGGGTCTGACGGGGGTGACATGGCACATGGAGAGTCTGAGGGAGGAGGCCGGTACATGTAGATGTGATGTGGTTGTCCAGGTGGGGCGGCAGGCCTGGAGAGCATCTGAGGGGGGAGGCTGGTGCCGTGTATGTGATGTGGTGGTCTAAGTGGGGAGGCGGCCCTGGGAGGGCGTCTGACTGGGGTGACCCGGGGCAAGGAGGGTCTGAGGGAGGAGGCCAGTATGTGCAGATGTGACATGGTGGTCTGAGAGGGGAGGCAGGCCTAAGGGAGCATCTAATGGGGTGACACAGGCAAGGAGCATCTGAGGGAGGAGGCCAGTGCATCCAGGGCCCAGGGTGGCTGCTGATGGGATGTGGAGGTCAGATGGAGGAGGCAGTGCTCACAGAGGTCTCAAGGGAGACATGGTATAAGGAAGTTTTTTTGACAGGGAGGCAGGTGGGCTGTGGGGTTCCAACGGTAGAGGCAGGATCTCACCCGCATGTCTGAGGGAGGAGGCAGGAAGGCCCTTGAGGCCTCAGAGGGATGAGAATGTCCTGGAGGGTCTTGGGTGCAATGGACATTCTGCTGGGAGCAGGGATGAGAGAGGGACAGACCGTCCCAGCCCTCCAGGAAGAGTCCAGGCACCGCTTTCTGTGAATGCCAGCAGAGGCCTGATGAGTCTGGCCCTTCCCACAGGGTGTTTGCCGGCGATCAAATGCCTGACGTTAGCCCAGCAAGCTTTGTGACGGTGAGGAACTCCAGGGCAGCTTCCCAGAGGAGGAGGCGCAGCTGAGCTCAGCTCTGCAGGATGGCCAGGCGGCAGTGATCACGGGGACTCCCCAGGGGGCCTGGCAGGAGCGTGGAGGTGGGAGGCCTGATGCCTATGCCCCTGGCCCTGGTGCTAAGAACAGGGGTGGTCCTGCAGCTTCTTGGCTGTGTGGCCTGTTTGGACTTCACTTTCCCCTGCCTGCCAGGTGATCAGTGTCCATTGCTGGATGGGGTTGTGGGAGGTTCCAGAAGATCATGCATGTAGCCATGTGCGGGGTGTCAGCTGCACCCCAAGACCTGAATGGGTGCACAGCACCCCCCTGCCATGCCCACCCAGGCGATGTGTGGAGCACGCGTGAACCCCCACTCACCCAGGGCCTGCCAGAGTGTGTGGGATGGGTGCACGCCAGATGAGGACCCACGTGGGTCACCAGCCCAGCCCCAGCCTAGGCAGCACCCCCTAGAAACAGAGAGTTGCACAGCCTGAGAAGGAGGGGCATTTGCAGGAACAAGGGGGACCCTGGGACCAGACTGCCCATGCTCCAGACGCAGCCCTGCCCTGCCCCAGCTGTGTGGACACATCCCTTTTCTGTGCCTCAGTTTCCTCCTTGGTGCAGTGGGAGTAAATGCCACTCCACCTTCTAGTGTTGGTACAAGGGCAAGGCAGGGTCATGGGGCCCCCAGGCTCTAGGGTGTGTGGAAGGAGAGCAGGGCAGAGTTACCCAGTATTTTATTTTTTCCTGGAGACAGGGTCTCGATCTGTCTCCCAGGCTGGAGTGCAGCGGCGCAGTCTTGGCTCACTGTAGCCTCGACCTCCTAGGCTTAAGCGATCCTCCTGCCTCCGCCTCCCGAGTAGCTGAGACTACAGGCGCGCACCACCAATGACTTGTTTTTGAGACGGAGTCTCACTCTGTCGCCCAGGCTGGAGTGCAGTGGTGCGATGTCAGCTCCCTGCAACCTCTGCTTCCCAGGCTCAAGCGATCCTCCTGCCTCAGCTTCCCAAGTGGCTGGGATTACAGGCACCCACCACCATGTCCAGCTAATTTTTTGCATTTTTAGTAGAGATGGGGTTTCACCATGTTGGCCAGGCTGGTCTCAAACTCCTGACCTCAGGTGATCTACCTGCCTTGGCCTCCCAAAGTGCTGGGATCACAGGCATGAGCCACCGCACCCGGCCACTTTTTTTTTTTCTGAGACAGAATCTCACTCTGTCACCCACACTGGAGTGCCGTGGCACGATCTCAGCTCACTGCAACCTCCGCCTCCGGGTTCAAGCGATTCTCCTGCCTCAGCCTCCTGAGTAGCTGGGATTACACCACACCCAGCTCATTTTTGTATTTAGTAGAAATGGGGTTTCTTTTTTCTTTCTTTTTTTTTTTTTTTTTTTTAAAGATGGGGTTTCACCATGATGGCCAGGCTGGTCTTGAACTCCTGACCTCAGGTGATCGATCCACCCACCTCGGCCTCCCAAAGTGCTAGGATTACAGGCGTGAGCCACCGTGTCCGGCCTAGAAATGGGGTTTCACCACTTTGGCCAGGCTGGTCTCGAACTCCTGACCTCAGGTGATCTGCCCGCGTTGGCCTCCCAAAGTGCTGGGGTTACCGGCGTGAGCCACTGCGCCCGGCAGTTACCTGGTCTTGATCTTGATTCTTTGACCTTGATCTTAGCATCTCCCTCCTCCTCCTCCACCAATGAGTGTCAGACCTGCTGGGTCTGGCTATGAGGGGGCACTGGAGACGGTGGGGGCCGAGGGGTGGGCCAGGAGGCTGCCAACATGTTGTGGGCAGGGGGCAGGGGCCGCCGTGGGGGCGGGGGTGCTCATTGCTACGCAGGGCCAGACCTCTCTGCCATCACACATCTTCCTAGCCCGGCCCTGCCCCCACCTCCTCCACGCTGAGCTGATAAAATTTTGAAGCAAGATTTCTGCTGCAGTCAGCACAATCTCTGGGCGCCTCCCCACCCCCACTCGGCCCCTCCCATCTCTGCTCAGCAGGCAGGCCTGTGCCCCGGGTCAGGTTGGCCTCCCTGAGTGAGGGCTGCCCCCCCCACCCAGCCTGCCCCCTCCATCCCCAGGGGAATGCCTGCTGCAGTTGGCCCCAGCAGGTCACAACCCCCCCGAAACCTTGCCACCTGCCCACCGCAGGTGCCTCAGCTCCCCGTGGGGGTAAGAGCCGGGACTGGTCTCCGACCTCAGCTCAGCAACCCACTGGCTGGGTGATCTGGGGCCAGACACTCACCCACTCTGTGCTCCATTTCCTTGTCTATAAATTCGGGAGCTCACAGTTGGTCGCCTTGTGGGAAGTGTGAGGTGCCCAGGCTGAGGGCTCAGTAAGCCGCCCATGAGGCATCGGGAAGATGGCGTCAGGCACGGGGCTACGGCCCTAGATGGTTATTGTTACAACATTATTCTTTTCTGGATTTTTATTTTTTTTGAGACGGAGTCTTGCTCTGTCGCCCAGGCTGGAGTGCAGTGGTGCAATCTCGGCTCACTGCAGCCTCCGCCTCCTGGGTTCAAGCGATTCTCCTGCCTCAGCCTCCTAAGTAGTTGGCAGTACACCTGCCCACCACCACGCCCGGCTAATTTTTTGTATTTTTAGTAGAGACGGGGTTTTGCCATGTTGGCCAGGCTGGTCTCGAACTCCTGACTTCAGGTGATCCACCCACCTCAGCCTCCCAAAGTGCTGGGATTACAGGCATGAGCCACTTCACTGGGCCTTGTTTTTTATTTTTTGCAGAGATGAGGGCCTCCTTATGTTGCCCAGGCTGGTCTCGAACTCCTAGGCTCAAGTGATCCTCCTGCCTCGGCCTCCCAAAGTGCTGGGATTCCAGGCGTGAGCCACTGCCCCCAGCCGTCCTCCTCACTTTGGTTACAATCTCCCACCCCCAGGCCTTTCCTTATGCTGTTGCCGGTGCATAGAATGTCGTTCCCATATGGAAAACCCCAACTTTGGCTGGGCGTGGTGTCTCATGCCTGTAATCCCAGCACTTTGGGAGACCAAGGCAGGTGGATCTCCTGAGGCCAGGAGTTTGAGAGCAGCCTGGGCAACAGGCAAAACCTCGTCTCCACCAAAAATACAAAAAATTAGCCACCCGCCTGGCTGGAAATATTTTCCCATTCTTACCGCTGCCCTGTGAGGCAGAGATTATCGCTGTATGCATTTTTTTTTTTTTTTAAGATAAGGTCTCACTCTGTTGCCCAGGCTGGAGTACAGTGGCATGATCTCGGCTCACTGCAACCTCTACTACCTGGGTTCAATCGATTCTCGTGCCT